TGACAGCTAAAATATTAATCCACAAATGATTTCAGCTTAGGAACACTTGGTTATAGTGTTTAGGTAAGAAAAAAACAAGCAATAGCATTCAGTATGTAAGTAGAGTAGAGGAGTAGAGGAAGGATGTCTTGCTTCAAATAAATGTATGTGCTTATACTCCTGTAAAGTTCTTCTTTGTTTATATTAGTGGACAACGATTGTTTAGAATAAAGTTTCTTTCTCAGTTTAGATAACTGAGAAAGGCATTTGCCCTTACAAATTAAACTGCAATATAAGGATCTCAGTGGCAGCTGCAAAAGCACGAGCAGTACCTTCCACTTTTCCAAAGAAGTTGTTCACAGAGGAAAATGCAAACAAAAAATCCATCCCACACCAACCTCCTCTGCCTCCTCGCTACCAGAAATTAATAATAATAAATACATATAAAAATACATATTTGTGAGGTCTCCCAAGCCACCCAAGCCAACAAACATAGCCTTCCAAATACAGCCTTGGTCTTTTGTACTAAACAGATTCTGGCATTTACCTATAAATGGTGTAAATTGCCAGGACTGCATTTCTGCGCACATAGCTGTGACGATGCTCTAAGCACGCACGGATGGCTGGCATCAGAGGCTCCAGCAGTTCTGCTTCTTTCAGCTTGCAAAGAAAACGAAGAGTAGAGCCTCGGATAAACTCATTTGGATGCTGAAGATCCTACAATCAACCAGAAGCATATTTGAAATGTCAGATGCTACAGTTTAACTGCAAAGCTCAGGTGAACGCACTTGCTAGCCTCCTCCCAAGTTAAGTTTTTTGATGGAGCAAATTCCAAAAGTCTAAGAAGACAATTCTTTATCTTTTCATTAAAGGAATCTTCTTAAAACACTGAAGTTCCATGAAATTTAAAACAAGCATTTCCACGTAATCAAACTTGCAAGTCCTAAGTTTTTTCTGCTGCACTGCACATATTGTATGTGACTCCACAGGCTGTGAAAGCTCAGCCTGCAGGCATTCCAGCACAGTGGAATGACTCTACTGCATGTTAGTTATCTGCCTGCGGTCTATTCCCACAGAAACTGAAGGATTATGTTTGTGAAGGAGCATCCCAAACACACTGCAACGAAGATATGCCACATTGAGCATCTACTCTTACTGACCCACTGTGTGTCCAAGGACACTATCGAGGTGGTAATGAGGTCACCCCTCATCTTCAAGGCTCTCTGACTTCGTAAGATTGAGCACTACATGTTTAATTGTAACAGGAAATGTGAAAATTCCTTAGCAGTTGGTTTGCTAGTTACATTTCAGCCAGCTATGAAGCATTTTAAGACAAAAGGGTTTGCAAGGAAATGAGAGCGTGAGACGCTTTCATATATTTTACATAACAGAAAACGATGCACTTTCTAGAAAGTACACAGTATGTAAACATAGGCAGTAAAATAAACAAGAAGCTACCTTTCTATATGCATCACAGACAAGGATCATTTCCTGCAGAAGCCTGCCATCAGGAGTGGTCTTCGGCACTATCTCCCAGAAAACAAGCAGCAGCTTTTTGATGGTATGATCTTGGAGAGGCAGCACAAAACGTATAATGGTCATCAGAAGCCCAGGTAGTTTTTCACCATTCAGAATCATAATAATCACTTTCTTCAAGGCCTCTGTCTTCAACTTGACATCTCCTTTTTCTAGAGTGGATAGAAAATTCAAGAAAGAGAATCAAGGTAATTGTATGCTTAGGAAGGCTAACATCCCACAGTTTAGTAGGAACAGCTGTTTTCTGGTCAGAAGATACAACCTCTCCACAAAGGAGTACAGTTTAACATTTCAATAAAATCCACACCCTCACTTTTAAGAGCATAAAGAAGAAGCAAGAGGTATGTATAATATATAAGCCTGGAGTTTAAGCTTATTTTTGGGATCAATGTATTGGAATTAAATGAATTCAACAGATTGCATCACTGCTCCAGTGCTTTCAAACAGCATTTCAAATCAGAATACTCCAATGCACTGTAATGTTACACTAAATACTGATGATGCCACTTTTGCAAGAAAGATACAGCTGTGCACAGAACAGTAAGTGATATGGTTCTCATTAACTAAGCCTGCCCAGACCTCAACATCTATTGCTTTGCACAAAGACTGAAAGTGATGTAAAAGTTCTGCACGGAATTTGGACAAAAAGTCACACAAGATAAATATCACAAACTTCTCAAACAGCGAGCAGAATTCACACATTTCAAACATCAACATAACAAAACAAACACTTATTTGCCTGAGTTTATGAAATGCAAACAATATTCTAGTAAAAGTGTAAGGACACCATGGGAGAATAATGATAGATGATCCTTCTCATCAGGGTCCATTACTTGCCTAGGTCATTTTTTAGGCTGATTTCAGAAGGTGGTTCTGAATCCATCGGGACATTGATTAACGTGTAGCACACGTTCTCAGCAGCAGTCATGGCTCCTGGTTACAAATGTTTTCTCAGTGGAAGGCTTATTTTGACACAAGTATCAGACAACCTAAAAAAAACAAGCAAATAAAGCCATCCCAGAGTTAACAGATTTTACTAATAACATTAAAATGATTGTCCAGCTGATTTAATGATTTGTAGAAGCTTGGATTTCTTGAGAAGCCACATTTGAAATACCTTCCCATTTTACAAACAAACAAACAAATCAAGAGCATGACATTCCCCAAAGGAAAAAACAACCCAGAAATGAAAAATCTTTCTAATATGGCTACAGGGTATGGCTACAGATGAAGGAGGATATTTGGCTGCTACTGAAAGGATGCAGCAACTTTTCCCTTGCCTACTCATCCCTCTGATCCCTACTATAATCACTGCCTTCCCGGTGCTCTTGCGCTTCTCCAGGTGAACTGACCCAAAGTGCAAAGCCAGCTGAAAGCATTTAAGTGAAAGAAAAGGGAAAGGAAGAGTTTTCTTCCAGTTTAACAAACTGAATCAGCCAATGAGAAAGCTATGATGATGGGCACAAGATGTAAGAGTGGAAACTGAGGATGGCAGAACAGAAAAAAGTGAGATGGAAAGGAAAGCAGGACGACACTTTGACATACCAAGAACAATCAGACCTGTGGAACTCTACTCTTTAGCTGCCCCTACAAACTGATGAGGAAGGTCAATATTCATAGAGAGGAAAAAACTACCTGAGAGTTACAGACCCATCAAAGCTGCAATTCAGATTAAAAAAAAGTTAAATCCTCATTTTTTCTGTTTGTTTCTTCCTAGTGTAATTGATGCCTAGGATCAAACCAAACTTACTACTCTGTTTCTTAATGGAAAAACGTTCCAGTTTCAGTTTGCTCTGTTAGTGCTATGATACCACACCGGCACAGGAAATTGTTAGTTTCTATTACACGTCCAAAACTGCATTTTCTAAATGCGTGCAAAATAATGACTGTGCTCTCACTGCAATGAATTGTCTTGAAGTCTTACACAGAGTTCAACAAATCTTTGAAAGAAGACGCTTCTTTAAAACATGGCGTTATGCATCAGTCTGTTAATAAACAGTGCAAAAGCACAAACTTGTTTGCTGTTCCATCACCATATCTCCAAGACAGCAGTGACACGCCAAGTGAGAAAGCCACTGTCTGAGTTCTGATCTCACCTCACCTCCACAGCTGTGTTGACACAACTTCTGAGATGCAAACTCTGTAAACCCTCCAATCCCACTTTATTTTTGAAGCAGTCATTTGAGCAAACAACATTCAAAAACCCAAACGTTCATTTCCAGCTCAGTGAGCCTGAGAAGAAGCACTGCTCCACACAGAGCTCTGACTGACAACAGAGGAAAGAGAGCAGCTGTGGCACTGGAATGAATGAGTGAAACTGTGGATCCAAAGCCCCTTTTTTTCAATCAAACAGGCACCTGAAGAACCTTAGGCTGAGCAGGAAGTTGTGCTGCTTTGGGCTGTGTCATCCTTCTACATAGAAAACAGCAAAATGTAAGAAGTACTGGAAAAGATAGTTGAAAGAAAAATAGCAATGCAACACCAGTTACTTTTTGTTACAGAATTTCTGTATTTCTACGGCTTCAATTCTTCAAGTTGATCATTCGCAGGAAAAAAAAAAAAGGAAACAAAGAGCAGTTTTCGTGCCTTGGTAACAGCTTCTGGGCAAGAGGGTGGGAGAGACAGCAGAGCTCAACGCTGCGCAGCCAGCGTTCAGCTCTGTGAGGAAGAGCAGCAGGCCCGTCCAAAAGGCAGCCTGCACACAGCCCTGACTGCAGAAACTCCTCAGACCCATGGCACAACTCTCCATAACGCGCCGACGCGGCCCGAGCTCACGCAGCGGCGAAGCGCCCCGCCGCTCGGCCAACCCACAGCCGAGAGCCCCCGGGCACCATTCTGCCTCGCGGCACTCGGCTATTTTCAGCCCTCAGCCCGACGCCCGCAGCCAGGAGGAGGCCGGCGGCGGCCCCGCTGTCTCCCGCTCCCGTTCCCCGCCCCGGGTACGGCTACGAAGAGGTTTCCCCACGAGGTGTCGCGGCGCGGAGCTGCGCACCGTGAGGCGGCGGTGCTGCTCGCGGCGGCCCGCTAGGATCGGAGGCAGTGGGTCGCGGCTCGGCCCGCTCGGCTCTGCCCGCGGCGCTTCGGCGATGGCTGACGTGGAGCCGCTCCCTCCCGGATGGCTCGGCGCTACGGCGGCTGAGACAGGACACTCCTCCTCCGTGCAGAAGAACGCGAAAGAGGCGGAGCCGCCGCCAGCGTTGCCGCGTGGCCGACAGGGGCGGGGCGAAGGGGCGCCACGAGGACGGCGTCACGTGAGCAGCGGGGGCGGGCCTTCCGGCTCTGACGCTCTGACGTCACCGCCCCGCCAAACGAGGGAGCTTTGTTTTTTCCCCGCTTCCCAAAGCCACGGTAGGTTCCAAAAATGCTATTTAATCCCATTTGTCCTTACATGCTAATGACAGTAGGCATCCATTAAAAACCAGTATCTTGTGCTGTTTAAGAAAACCCCTTCCTCGACAGAAAAAAACACAGCACTGCTGACCTCCTTAAGGATAGGTGAGTGGGTTTATTTCTTTTTTAAAAGCAATCCTCAGTACGTATCAGCATAAGAGGCATAGAGCTGAGGATAAAGTTACCACCCGTGGATAAACGCTCCGGTACAGCATCACGTATGGCAGCACAAAGGAACCTGTCCACCAATTAGTGCTCCATGGGCTCTTCTGCCTTCTCTGCAGGCTCATCAGCAGGCAGAGCAGGCTTAAAGAGAGGGAAAAGACGTGTTAAGGGATTATCCAGAGTAAACAGGAAGAACAAAGCTAATCAGAAGGCTGAGGCAGTTTGCCACATGCACAAGAAATATGTTGTTAAACAACGTGCAAAACACTATGACAGACGAGGAAAAAAACCTGAGTGACAGGACGGGCCTGCCACATTCAGCCTAAATTGACTTAAATAAGCGCATCAGTCTCCAGCTAAGAGTACATGGTGTACCCAGTTTTCATGTAGTAACTTCTAGCTTTAAAAAAGTCAATTCCTAAAATTGTAATCTATTAGCAGAATTAAACATCAAACATAAAAATAATACATCATACAGTGCTGGCTTTCAATAAAGCCTACTTCCATTTAGCACACACCTTCCTCTGCGGTCTCTCCTCAAGGCCTTCTAGGAATGGTGCTACATCATCATCGTCATAGATCGTGAACTCCATGTCTTTGCCAACAATCCCAATGGAAACATTCTGTTAAGCAAAGATTTGACAGAAGTGAGAAGCATTTTTCTGCAAAATCATTTGCACTTGTCAAACAGACAAAAGCTTCCCACTGTAACAGAGAGGATCACTGTGCTAGTTGTGTCTGCTTAAGGAAGAAGGGCAGTCTTGATAAACTCTCTCTTTAGCAGACTGTTCTCGAAGGGAGAGGACATTTATTCCCTACAAAAGGTAGCACGTTTCAAACATCTTAATAGGAAAACCACCATCCAAGGGTTCTTATTTCCTTTTTTTTCTTTTTTTCCTCCTCCTTTCTTCTCCCCCCTTTTCTTTTTAGTAACAAATAAAAAAGTAACCTGACTTTTCAAAATTGATTTTCATCTTACTCTGCATTGTTGTTACAGTAAGAGTTCTAGAAAACAGCAAGGCAGGCTAAGAACAAAAAATATAGATTAAACATAGATAAGGGCAAGGCCAGCCACAAGGAGAACACCAGAATATGGTAACAGAGCTGCTTAGAAGCTTCTTGCTCAACAGTTGTTCACTTCATTTCCTGGCCAAGGTTTCTGCAACTCTGTGATGCTGGATACTCACTTTGTGTATTACATTCCCTTACCACCCAGTCAATTAGTGACTGTGCTTACAATGCAAAGCTGATAATTCCAGTTGTACACAATGAACCTTAAACACTGATTCAAGTTTAACATATATTGAAGCAGCTAGGGAAAAATGTCTTATCTAAATAAAGCATCACTTCCATAAAGAAAAGTAAATCTCAGGTAATGAAGGAAGCAGTACATAAATCGGAGACAAATGAAATGAAGATGATGAAGATCCAGAAAGAAAGTTTTTGGCTTTCAAGATTCAGTGCCAGCCATACTTCATATCAGCTTTGTCGCTGTCATTACTGAGAACAATGGCAGTGAAATTTCTCATTAAGAAAACCTAGCATTTACCTTGGTGGTCAGATCCTGTTCAGCAGGAAGAGTCTCTCTCAGGGCACGCAGTCCATGTTTAACTAGCTCATTTAGATTACCTTAAGAATGAAAACAGAAAGGTACTTATGAAATACAGCACTTATCCCCACATTCATTTTCCCTTCTTCCCATTCTCAGATGACAAGAAGAAAATCAACTTGCACAGCCTGACTTGCAAAAGTCTTCTCTTAGGTATTTCTGATACTGAAAACACAGTTGTTAAACAAGTACACTATGAGGAACCAGCTCTTCCCTGTTGTAAAACCACCTGGTTTTGGCACCTGCACTGTCTTCAGTGCAGCAATAATCAAGTTATTTTCCCCTTCACATCGCTGTTTCATATAAATTCACTACCTAAGTATCTGCCATGACATACTGTATGTGCTCTGACATGTAAAAAATTTTTCCCATTCTTTAAATGGAGCAGAGGTTTGTTACTTTTTACTTTACTTTTCTGAGCACAGCTTCTCTTTTTATTAGATCTAATAAACACCCAGATGTGAGACACGGAGATCTGCAATACTTTCTCTACAGTTTTCCTCTTCATGTAGATTTACACTTATGCCAAATTCAGCCCTCAACATTTTCTTGTCTTCCTACATGCAGAATGGAACAGTGGCAGAAAATAAGTTTTGTAACAGAAAAAGATCATTTGATAGCCAGGTTCATTACTCACAATCAGTAAATTCAGTCATGTGTCTTTCCAAGTAAGTTCGTGCTGATTGCGAACGAGCACCAATGGACATTGCTTTACAGTCAAAATAGTTTGCTGAGGGACAAGTTTGGAAGATGTGAGGGCCCATATCCTACAGAAAGACATAAAACAAACGTATGAACTCACACCAAGCTTGCTGTAGGAACACATGATATTTTCTAAAATAGTTTTGCTCATGAAACATTACGTAGTTTGTATGCATGCGCATAAGTATCCTATACTGCTTGCTACCCCACCATTCTTATCCAATTCTTTCACAGCTATTTAAAAAAAATAAAAACAAATGCAGTGTTTGTTTTTGCACTGCCTTTTTCATACAAGGAATACAGCTAGAACCAAAATGTTTCCTCCAGTGTTCCACAAACTGCCTTGTGCTTACGCGTGCTTCTGACTTCTTGGCTTGCAAATGATGTTTCACACACATTCTGAGTTATCTGCACGAGCAAGAAAACCTATTGTAGAACTAACCTTGCTATCAATAATTTCAGGCAAGTTGTTAATTTCTTTCTACCTTCTTTGTATCAAAAATCTTCAGGGCAGACATTCTGCGTGTTGCACTAGGCAAACTGTTTTTCTGAACACATGAAGTAAAGCCTATTAATTTTTTTCCACATCCATTTTTTATTTAAGAAAGTGTCAAAAAAAAAATAATTTGTTCATCTCATTTTGCACCTCAAAATAATCAGTTCTTCATTTTTGCATAAGTACACCTCATAGGCATAGAGTGGATTAGCTGTTAATTTGTATTTATACAAGTTATGTCTCAGTATGATAGAGAAAATGATTGTGTCATTCTGAGAATTTTGGTGAGTCTGCCTCCTCCTTACACCTTCTCCTCTTTAATGTGTACTTGTACAGGATTGCATTTAAGCATGTTCTCTTCTGGACCAATTGCAGCTAGCACAGCTTACTTACATCATAACCTGCAATGAGCAGTCCTACACCATATGGTCTTCTGCCATAGCGCTGCGTTGGTATCTGCGTTTCTGAAGTAAGCTAAAGAAGCAATCTCAAAGGCACGTGTTAATCAGTCACACTGACAACATTTTCCTGAGCAATGCACTGATGCTACAAAATTGTTGTGCAGTCTTTGCAAAGCCTTTTGTAGTATCAAAGGCTGTGTCTGAAGAAATAGTTTTCAGGACTTATTTGGAATGCCAGCGCTGGCTCTTTTTCACCAAAACAACATTTAGGAGCTGGCTCTCTCAGAACCGAGCGGTGCATTCAACCAAGTAATACAAACAGTTCAGTTAATGCAGCCTCATTTAATTTCTTAGCCCTTTAACTTTACCTAGGCACCTGATAACAGAATACAAGGCCTCCTCTGTGCTCCAAGCACTTAATTAATGAGAACATTAATTACCACAAAAAAAAAGTAAGCAAGTGGCTGCAGTCCAACATATGATCATATTTTGTGCAGTGCAATTTTCCACCCCCATCTCCCAGAACACAGTGCTATGTAACAAAAAAACCCACAGCAGTAAGTGAAATGGTGCATAGTGCCTTACTGCTTTTCTATCAGTTCAGAGTTCTGGGATGCTCTCTGAAAGAATGAACACACAAACAATGTGAGCAAAGGAAAATCACCTCTGAATTAACTTCTTCAGTTTAGCATTACTTTTAAATTGTGATATATTATTATTTTTTTTTAAGAAGGATACTGCTTCCAATTAGTGACACCAAACGAGACACTGGAAGAGGTCTATCAAACACAAATCTAGAATCCAGACACTCCTGACGCATAAAATTACTAGAAGAAAAAGAAAGAAGAATCAAATCAGTGCATAGATGAAAGTCACACCGAGTTTTCTTCAATATTTGTCTGTTAAGATTTAAGTGTATTCTTGTTCCTGCTCTGCTTGTTGAGAAAAACAGCCAAGGGCATTACACAATTTCATTTCATCGTGACTTATAACTGTTATTTAGGAGGTTGACCACAGGCTTGAAAGAGTCTCAGAGCATCTCATCCATAGAAACCAAGAGAAGTTAAAGTGCACCAGGCCACAAATAGGTCACCGGGAAAAAAAAAACCACAGTTAAACAGTAACATATCTTTGTAACCTTACAGCAATTAAATTTTATATTAAAAATTCTTCCTGTCTCTGTGTTTTCCTGTTCCTAACTAGGGAATCAACCTCTTTTAGTATATATTACCTTATTTGATCAAGCTATGTGGTCAGCAGGTAAAGGCAAATCTGTCTGAAGTTGACATGTTCAGCAGTACATGTTTTTACTAACAGAAGCAGCTGCTAGAGGGAAATAGGTAATGCACTTTTTCAGACTGCTTGGAAACCCCACCACACTGAGGAAACCAGACACAAGTAACAAAACCAAAGAGCAAATTTTGGGGACAAACAAAGGAGTTTTCTGCCAACAACTTAAAATCCTTCCAGAATTTCACAGCGAGGTCTTAGGCAAAGCACAAGAGACCATGACCAGTCCTTAGATGAACATAAAATTTCATTTGCAATAGTCTACACGTGAACTTTTACTTATTGCAGAACTGGGTATGTCAACAGCTAAGATACTCACCACAAGAGTCTTGCATCAGCTGTAAGCCCGGCAATTGAGATTCCAATATGGTTGTCAACGTACAGGATCTTTTTCTGATGAGCTGCCAGCTCAGACTGTGCCCGCTACACATAAAAGGAGAGAGCTATGTGGCAGACTGACCACTTTGTCAAGCACTGTGAAGTAATCTGCTAACACTTATTGCAAGAACTGAATGCAATCACAAAACAGTCAAAACAACAAATGTTAACAAAGACCAACTGTAAACTTGCAACAGAAGACAAGAAAAAAATAATTCCGCTTCAGTAGGAGACTGTAAAATGTTCCTTTTCATTTCAGGAAAAAATGAACAGATGCTCAAGTTTTGGAAAAGGAAGTGAACAGTTTTACTGCTTTATAACAAAAAAAAAAAAAAATATTAAAAATAGAAGAACTCCTATCTTTTAAAATGAAAATCTTTGACTCATTTCACAGAATCACAGAATTGTAGGGGTTGGAAGGGACCTCCAGAGCTCATCGAGTCCAACCCCCCTGCCAAAGCAGGTTCCCTACAGCAGGTCACACAGGTAGGCATCCAGGCAGGTCTTGAACATCTCCAGAGAAGGAGACTCCACCACCTCCCTGGGCAGCCTGTTCCAGTGCTCCGTCACCTCACTGTAAGGAAGTTCTTGTGCACATTTGTATGGAACTTCCTATGCTGCAGTTTCTTTTCGGCCGTTTCCCCTTGTCCTGTCTCCACACACTGCTAAAAAGAGTCTGGTCTCACCACACCTTAGATATTCCTTCACCAATTTGTAAAAACCCGCTTAGCATGGGTGCTGAAACTGTTTATAGTTTTTTACTGACACTAATGGAAAGTGATACTACATTTATTTTATATACAGATAAAAGTTCAGACTGTGCTAAACTAATTTGCCAAACCAAAACTTTTCCACTAATATTGATGTTTGCAGAACAGAGTTTTAACCTTACCTTTAAAGCAACCAGAACAGCATGTGTTTTTGACTTCAGCCCCACAGTGGCTGAGCCTTGCTTCACAGCTTCCATGGCATATTCTATTTGATGAATTCGCCCCTACAGAATAAAATCAAAGATAACCATTCTGAAATTAATCACCTGCACCATTTTTCAACAGTTTTTCATTTACAGACTTCTGATTTCCCCCACCCTGACAGGCACAGTGACTGCCTAACAACAACAAACTTCCTCTATTATCATTTGCAAACCATAGACTCATAGAACGGCCTGGGATAAAAAAGGACCACAAGTGGTGCTCTAGTTTCAACCCCCCTGCTGTGTGCAGGGTCACCAGCCACCAGACCAGGCTGCTCAGAGCCACATCCAGCCTGGCCTCGAATGGGATGGGGCATCCACGACCTCCTCGGGCAACCTGTTCCAGTGCATCACCACCTTCTGAGGGAAAAACTTCCTCCTAATATCTAACCTAAACCACCCCTGTCTCAGTTTAAAACCATTCCCCTTGTCATATCACTATGCACCCTAATAAACAGCCATTCCCCCTCCTGTTTATAAGCTCCCTTCAAGTACTGGAAGGCTGCAATCTGGTCTCCCCAGAGCCTTCTCCTCTCCAAGCTAAACAATCCCAGTTCCTTCAACCTTTCCTCATAGGAGAGAGACTTCCTCATAGAAGTCATCTCAGTGGCGATGACTTCAGCAACTCACTGAAGTTATTTCTATCATTGCTCAGAGGAACTCCCAGCTGAAGTCGGATGTGTAACTTTTAATCGAGTTTCCTAAAGAAATGAATCTTAAGCAATTGTTGTGTCTCATCATCCATCCCCCAGTAACTTCTGAACATGTTATTAGTCAATTGCAGTAAAGTCTGAAGGAGGAGTAGAGGTCTTGAAGACAAGCAAGCCCTTACAAGTTCTGAAAAGCAAGCCAGCAGCGTTGCAAGAAAATAAGGCAACATCCTTTCAGAGCTACAGCTGAGGGTAAAGTAGCAACTTATTTCAAATAATCAGCACGTTCACTGATACCATGCAGAAGCTGGAATTACTAAATGTAGCACAGCTGTCTCCTACCAATTGCAATAAATTTAAAATATGACACACTGCTACAATTATTACAATGGGAACACTCTGGGGACAACCTACAGGATATATAAAATAAGATGGTTTCAATTCCAATATACATATGTATACACACTTAACATGTAAAGGGTTTTTGATTTCTTTACCTAGAGGAACACAAACTCTGCTGGGTGCCCTACACACAGTTATTTCCTGCCTGAGAGCAGCAAGGAATCACGTATTTATCAACTGCCAGGAACAAGCTGCGGAACTGTAAAAGCATAAAGTCCTTTCAAGCCTTTAATCCTCAATCTCATTTTATTTAAAACAGTATTTGAAAATGTCCTCCTAGAGTAACTATTCATCACTCCTGCATAGATGCCCAGAGCTTTTATAGAATCACACCACTGCCACTGTGACCCAACCACCTGTAGATTGCAGCAAATCTGTCTTTGGTGAGTCATTGGTGCTATTCAGACTTTCAAGACAATTTATGAAAAATAAATATAATTCAGCATTGCTGATGACTTCATGATAGCTACTAGAAGCCACAAGAAAAAAAAACAAAAAAAAAAAACCAAAAAAACAACACTGAAGCTTATAAATGCATGTGACCAGAATAAAAATAAATACCAAATATAAGTTCTTCTCTATAGCCACTGAGGAATTTCAAAAGCTCTGCAATTCTTAAGGCAGGGAAATAACCCACAGGACATGTTTACTGCAGATCCAAAGCTCAAAAGCACCAGATCGGCACGGGCAGCCAGGAGAGGGGGGGGGAGTGTCACCATCCCTAGGGGTTTATGAGAAACACGAGGGATGTGATCAGTGGGCACGCTGGTGGTGCTGGGCCGATGACTGGACTTGATCTCAGAGGTAACGACTGTGTGATTTCCCAGCCTGTGTCCCACGTAAGAGACGTCTGTGCCCGTGGAGAAAAGCGCAGCATCAGCCAGCGAGGTAAGGGCGGGCGGGCCGGGCTCACCTGGGGGCTCCACACCGTCACGTCGTTATCGTACTGGTTGCGGAACTGGAAGAGACGGAGCAACAGACGTCAGCGCGGCCGCACCAAAGGAAAGCACTAAAGGAAAGCACCAAAGGGCCCCTGCCTCCCCTCACACACTCCCACCCGTGGGGCCGGGGCTGCTGGGCCCGGTGGGGCTGCCGGAGCTCCCGCCAGGCCCGGCCCCGCCAAGTGCTTACTCACGGCCCCACTCCTTCCTTTTTTCCCCTCGTCCCTTCTAACCCTCCTTCCTCCCTCCTCTCCTCCCGCCCGGTGCTGCGGGGTCGCGGCGCTGCTCTCCCGCCGTGCCGCTCACCATGCTTCCTGCCGGCGGAGACGCGGGCTGAGGGGCAGCGAGGGGGCCGCGCTCCGGCAGCACTCGCTCCGGCCTGGAGCGGTTAGACAGCGGCAGCCGCAGGCCGAGACATCGAGCGGGCGCGCCCGGGGGATCGGCGCATGCGCGGTCGGGCCGGGCCTCCGCGCGCCGTTCTTTCTTCTCTCTGCTAGTCGTTCTGTTGAGTAAATACAGCTACGTCTCTACAGTACTCAACGGTAGAAAGCTAAAAGATTTAACGTAAACGAAGTGGTCACCAGAGCTCTTGTTTTGGATAATTAGCAGCATTTACGTGTAGTAAATCTTATGCAAAGCAAATATCCTCCAAAAAGCTGTGCAGGAGCGCGTGACTCGAGCACAAGGACAGAAGAGAATCAGACCGTACTGCTTTATTTTTAAACCAGTGTGCAGCTGCTGGAGTCACAGTCATTCAAACGGGAGCCGTGTTCCACCACCCTCTGTCCGATTACATTTCTCTTACCGCTGGACAACATCCTTTTGTGCACCTTTTGTCACTGGAGAGGACTGCGCTGTCACCTGGAAAAAAAACGTCCAAACTGATTCCAGTTACCTGACTTATTATTTTTCAGCTTTGCGATTCATGAAAATTCACTTGAGCTGAAATAACTTCCTTTCTTCAGCAGCGCTTGATGTGCACTGCAACAGGATATATAAACGCTTTATTAAGTGAGCTTGAAGCTGAGCAGCTTTCCAGTGTCAGAGCGCTCAGTAAATATTGCCGTAGTCCCTGCTACGAGGCCATTCTGTAACAACTTCCTACAGCAATAAGTGACTCCCTCCAAGTCTGTTTACTCCAGAGAACAGTCAGAGAACAATAGACAGATATTTCCTCTAGTTGGCAAAAGCACATTTGGTTTCGCGGGATGCTGAACTATGCCAAGACTGTTGTTCTGCGTATATGCTGGTAAGTGGTGGAAGTGATGTTAGGAGCTACATTTATGGCTATAAAGAGGGGGGAGGATTTCTTTAAAACTTGATACAAGAAAATTAGATGAAATATACACTCAGGAAGAACTTCCAGAAGTTAAATGGATTGTTACACAAGCACATTAAATGACAAGTACTCTTTTTTCTTTCTACAATCAAAACCAAATTGACTTTAGGTCTAGCTATTAAAAATTTCTTCTAAACCAAACTGACTAAAGTGATCATAGAATGGCCTGGGTTGAAAAGGATCACAACGAACAACAAGTTTCAACCCCCCTGCTATGTGCAGGATCACCTACCAGCAGACCAGGCTGCCCAGAGCCACATCCAGTCTGACCTTGAATGCCTCCAGGGATGGGGCATCCACAGCCTCCTCGGGCAACCTGTTCCGGTACATCACCACTCTCTGTGTGAAAAACTTCCTCCTCATATCTAACCTAAATCTCTCCTCTTAGTTTAAAACCATTCCCCCTTGTCCTATACCCTCGTAATGCAGCAGTGCAAAGGGTTGCACAGAAGCTTCTCCCCCGCCTTCAAAGATAAGCTAGGAAAAGCAGTGAGGCAGGTGCTGGATTGAGTTTCATCTGCTCTCCAAGTGCTTCAGTGTAATTGCTCCCATACTCCCAAGGCAGCAGCACAGTGGGCATTAGAGACAAGAATAATCTCTACGAACAAGGAAAAGCTTACAATGGAAGGAAGTCATTCACTTCCTTCTGAATCCTCCTATATGCCGCCTCTTAGGCTCAGTCTGAGCCCTCTGCAGGTAGGAGGTAATGTCAACCATTTTGCAGTTTATTTCTATTCAGATCTTGTGCATTGGTCTTTAAAATTATCCAACAGTGACATATTTGATGTAAAATACAATAGTTAAATACAAAATCACAGAAAGGAGACAAAGAAAAAAAATCACATAACTTTTTTTCAGTTAAAAAAAAAATATCGAACCAGAATTTTATATATTTTCACGCTTTTTTTTTTTCATCCAAATATGACAAATAGTGACTGAAATGAATGAACTTAGTGGTTTTTCAGTCATGTAAAGAAAATACGAATACGAAGGCCTTACATTATGGTATCTGAAATTTAAGCAATGCATAAGTGCTGTGCTGACCTCCACACCTGGGAAAACATCTTGATGTAATGGTGTACAGTGGCCCTCATGAAGTGATCTGACAGTTTTAGACACTTCTTTGGAGATATAAAAATCTACATGGCAAACAACTAGATTGACACAGGCAGAGCTGATTGACACAGCAGAAGAACTGAATGGCCACAAAGGTATTCAACAGCTGTTTTCTCTAACCTGTGTTATGAAACACATTGATGAGGGAACATGGGACAACTTTACACTAATTTTGTGAGAACTGCCATAGTTGTTCACATCACATATATTGGTTTTATAATAAAAGCTTCAGGAAATGGTGTCCAACAGTTTCTTTGATAAAAGTTGTAAAAGCAGTTATTACATACTTGTATAGTTCTCTAAAATAACTTAAGTTTGTAGAAAAAAAAAATCAAAAAGTACAATTTTAACTGAAGAGAAAAGAAGTGAATGACAAACAGCAATCAACATATCACAAGAAGAAACCATATAATATAAAATACTACAGGAATGCAAAATAAAACTAAACCTATACTCACATTTAAAATACTCTACTTATGAAACATCCACTTTAGCAAAAAATGGCATTTTCCTCACTGTTAGTTTCACAATTAATAACCTGATAATCTGGATCACTTCAGAGAAATACACAATTGGCTGTGCTATGAAAATATATGTTAGATTCTCAGTAATGGTCAAACCAAACATATGGAATTATTAAGAAAGAATAAAATATAAATCATTATTATGCCAATGCATAAATCCACACTGCTTCTACAGCCATTCAGACTTGAATAGTGGGGGCAGTTCTTGCTTTCCATCTTAAAATCATCTGACATACTGGTGAATGGGAATAGCTGCATGTAAGGAACGGCCATTAAGAACAGGAGTCTTCAGTTTAAATAACAGATAAACAAGGCAAGGTGATGAACACTTCTCAAATCACAGTTGGCATTTGGCCACAGAGTCAAAGAGAAACTGGGCAAATTCATAGACAGAAACCTTTGAGCCATCTTACAAAACTGCTGATACAGTGCTTGAATTAAGAGCAGCAGCGATAAAACAGGTAACTTAAAATGTGCATGTAAAGTCTCAAGAGAAACGGATGATACTATTTTGTTCTGTTATGTTTCCAGCATAGTTATAAACAGCATCTGACACCTGAGCTATGGCAAGCTTGCTCTGAAGAGATTAACGTACAGGAACTAAAAGGGAAGGGCATTACGCCTTCCCTTCTGCTGACTCATTAGAGAAAACGACATTCCACCAAGCCCACTTTTGGAACACCACTCATGAAACTACATGAAACCATTGTGTTCTTGTGTACTGTAATCTGACAGTTTTATGGATTTTTTTTTGGTAAAAGATGGGTTCCATTGTGGTGAGTGGTATTACTCTCAGTGACCACATATTCCACGCTACGTAGGCACAGCAGACTGCAAAAGAAAAAATAAAGCCGTTGTGCTATACAGAGAACTAAAGCAGCATCTTCATCCCCCTGGAAAAGCAGGACAGCTTCTGTGAAGGTGCCCCCTGTCAGGTGGGTAAGTTACTACTTGCAAACAGCAGTGCCGTTGCTGTTGAGCAAGCTGGAATTGGTGTACCTTTATAATATTCAAATATGTTAACTTCTTTAGCCTTCATTGAATGACTCATGTACTATAGTTTTCTCTAGTAAGTATGTTTAAGAATAGAAGTGTTATGAATTAATTTCAGTCCTCAAATAAAAAAAAATCCATTATTTAAGCATTGGGAATTTGACTACTGGGAGTTTATTACCCCTATTCTCTAGCCTTGGAAAAGGTTCAGGTTCCCTCTGGGAAAATATAAAGGCTGAGTAAGATGTTAAAAATAATGACAATCACATTCAGAGAACCTGATGATGTGGTTATTGTCCAGACAGTCCAAAAAAAGTTCATGGAAATGGAGAGAGAGGTAATGAAAAATGAAGTTCAATATTTTCCAACCCATAGAATTATTATCACTCTCTGGAATGTTATCTGTTGTGCTCGAATTAGACCACATCGTATCCAGGTACCACCCAGGCACACTTATCAGTGAGCTTAACTTTTTGAATATCCATGCAAACCCAAAAAACATCAAAACTATCTTAAAAAGGAACCAATAGAAAGAAGTGGTCAGTATGAGCCTCAAGAGACTTGAAAGGTCACAAGCCAGGCACAGTTGTATGCTGCTCCTAGGACAAGTGGCATAGCCAAGAACACGTGACAAAAAAGTGAGCTAAATTAGGCTATAAAATTACATTGATGCTATATAACAATAGTGTTGTCTTGCATATCAATACAAGCTACAAGATATCAGTATTAGAAACACTGCCTTGCAGTTTTGCCATTGCAAATTTAAATCACAGGGCAATCAGCAAACAACAAAAACCCCACCCACATTTCCTAAGATTATCAATAAAAAATCAAATTCTGTGAGTGTTATCTCTATTGAAATGGAACAAATAGCAAAACATTGAGACAGAAAAAAATGTGGTTTGCTATTTATGTTTCCTAAGGTGCAAGTTCCCTTGATGATCAATCATTTAGGTCAAAGTGAGAAAGGGAAGGATATTTTCTTCTGAAAAAGAATACAAGGTTCTCTATGGAATGACAACTGGGAGAACAAACTACAGAAGACAGGCATTGGAAAGTAGTCTTTTTCACTCCTATTAAAGGAAAAAAACAAACAAACAAAAGCAAAACAATAACAACAAAATCTTATCCACTATAGTCTACAAATTCTGGTGGGCAGAACAGCTATACATTTGTTCCAGAAGACCCTTCAGGTTACAGGCCCTATTTAGTTAACTCCCTTTAAAGCTAACGTAGTCTCAAGTCACCATGGTTGACCATCACTTCACACTAAATGCCCCTTGTTTCTCAAGGCATCGTATTTAAAATAAAGCTGGAATTAATAATCCATATTCAGACTGACACATGAAGCCAACAGTCCAGTTTCATATACATATTTTATAAAAATCCTACAGAAGTGGAAATTGGTCATTATCGTAACACATTCAGGATTGCACATTTTGATTAGTTTTTTGATGTTTTAGGGATTGTATTTTTTATTTTTTGAGAACTGTCTTACATGATGCAAGCAGTCTATATTTGGAGGTAATGCAGCTAAAAAATTACTCCTTTATTAGTGGCCATTTTATATTGTGAGCATTTTTATTAGGTATACTAGTGCTGGGATTTTTCAAAATCTCTACCTGTGAGAGAATTAAGCTTAATTGTCAGCAAAGGCTGGAAATCACAGACCCAGAGAGAAAGCCTTTGCAATCCACGAGACCATTAATGGATCCTATTTCCTTACAGCAGACAATGCTGTCATATTAAATTAATGGCGAGACGAAGTATTATGTTCTTAGTTTTGTATTTGTGTTCCATAAATATTTAACAGTGAGTACTTATACGTGGCTCACACAATAAAAGGTTGGCAGAATGGCTTTGCCCTATCCAGTATTGCCTAATTTCCTTCTTGAAAATGGAAATACATTCACATGCATGTCTGCCAGAGTCCATTAAACTAAGGCTTTTGGTTTGCTTTGTTTAAAAGAGAAGACCCTAGGAATTATTTTACATTCCTAGCATGACATTAAGAATGTGTGACACTTCTGTTTGCAGGCATTTTTAAGTGCTGTGTGAGCACTGAACTTATTGTTCTGTTCAATTACTACTTAGGCAATGATTCCAGTCTTTCTGCAGCACATTTTTCAAAAAGCGACCCAACCTTTTCACAGTATGGATTCAGTTTTTGATTAGGAAAGACTACAATACAGGATTACTACACAAGAAAAAATTAACGTTTGATTATACTGTAGTCTGACAGCCTTGCTGTCATCAGCCTTTTTTTTTTTTCCTCAAGCATTTGCCAAGTTCCTAATTTTGTTACATGGATTTTAACAGCTTTGCTGTCACTCCTATCCCAGTATGTTTGCACAGTACAAATTTTATTTGGCACTGCCATCTTTATTGCATATATTCCAAAACTAACAACAGTGAAAGCAGAAACCAAGGCCTGTCCTGACAAATGTAAGAAAGCTTCTGGTAGTGTAAAGTCCATTGTCTGCAATTGGCCTGACACATGACTGAGCTCAGACAATGCATCATACATACATGCTTAAATTGTGAACAAATCCCATTGATGTCAGGCTTTTTCTAAATCTCAAGTATTGGGTGCAGCCCTTGGCTTCTAAGCCCAGTTTATGGGATTCAGTGTAAGGCCTAAAGGGCTCCAAATTAATTCCAGACAGGCTTGTTATAACCCTGCCTCACACCAGTGAGTATCTAAAAATCTCTGCAATAGTTATTAGCAAATTGCTACATGGTCAACACGTCCGCACAGCTGTTTCTTGCTTTATGAAGTATGTATCAAAGCAATGTATGATTATGTATGTCTTGTTCATGATAGATCCCCTAGCACCAAAACATTTGAGATGTGTTTATCGCATCATTACAGCACCAGGAACAATTATTCAGACAAATACATAGCTGGGTACTTGGAATAGAGAAAATAATTAGAAAAAAATAATGAAGATAAAAGAATCAGAAGATCTTTGCATTTGTATAGATAAGCAGAATGCTAACTTTAAGAACACTTGCATTTCTATAAAAGTTTGAATAATATAACACTGCACAACTGAAGCAGACAAGCAAAAATGACAGCAGTGCTTCATTATTTAGGAGTGACTCTCACCCCCAGAACAGACTTATGAGCATTGGTATCAAGCTGACCAAGTTCCTCTGGTTACCAGCCTGGGATGAACACAGTACATACAGCTACCAAATCCAGTGAATGAGAATTTTATAGAATGTTTCTCAGATCAGGAAATGCCATTTTTAAGTTGCACTGCAACACACACATATCTACACTTTAAAAGTCTTTTCTTTAAAAAGCTGTTAATTTTTAATACATCTGCCTAGTTTTGTGTAAATTCTTCTTTCATACTTACCTTCCAATGCATATCTCTTTCCAAGATCTCAATTAGCATAGATGGTGTAGGACTTGTGATAAACATTCAACAAGCACATGAAAGCTTAAGTACCATTTCTGAGCACTCAGAAACCATTCAGAAACAGAGGAAACAACCATAACATCCAGACCGTACTTGAAAACTACTTCATGAAGGAGACAAAAATATTAACAAGCACTTCCATATACAATTACTACTGTATCAACAAAAACAAAGGATCCGTGCAGTGCTGAAACAGCTGTCAAATAGATTGAGCTGCCAGAAGAACCCAGCTCCATTCAGGAAACAGCAGAATTCCAGACAATGAGGCCAAGGAAAGGGAAATTGACTTCTCTGCGTATCACTTGGCAAATGAAGTCTATCTGAATAAGTAAATTCGCCTCTTTTTGTTCTATTAATCAGAGTATTTCTCTAAGGGATAAATAAACAGTCTTTGGGCATTAGAAGTACAATTTCAATAATGAGCTTGAATAGAAAATTCAATAGAGAAGTTGAAATCTTGATGTCAAGTCAGCCTTACATTAATACTTCAGAGATCTTGATGTAAAAGCAATGGCCTGAGGCACTGTACAGAAAGACTTTGACAAGAATGTGGATTCTGAAATACATCTTGATTGTATCAGCCAGCTTTAGCTATTAAAGTGATCATAATTATTCTGGTTTATCCTCTAAACAATTCTCAAGATTGGAAAACAAGTATGGTTAAAACATCTCTTTTAATAGCTGATGAAAAAACAGGTCTGGACATTCTGGAATGAAAAGTGTGGCATGTTGCATTCCCAACAAAGGCAAAGTCAGTATGGTTAACTATGTTCTTGAAGAAAAGACTCTAGAGCACAGTCTCAGAGTTCCTGCACGTGATACGGATGCCTGAAAATACTGAATCTATCACCCAGCTCATTCAAGAACACAAGCAGGCTGCTAGCAGAAACATTTAATAGATGATGCTTTACTGCTCAGGAGGACAGCATAGCTCCCCAGTCTCAAGGCTCCCAACGGGCAACTTCTAGCCAAGAAATCAAGCATCTGTCAGGGCAACCTTAAAGCATATCAGAAAAGCATTCCAGTAATGATATTGCTTGTACTCAGTCACAAGCCTGCAGTCTACAACCAGTAGAAGAATAGCTAGTCTTACTAATTCAGCTTGTTACAGGTAAGATATTCCAGTTCATACCCTTTGCAGTGTGTGACGCCGGCTTGGATTAGATGCTAAACAATCATTCTTTACAGTTGTTTTATTCTCTCTGGAAATGCCAAGCATTTGGAAGCCAATAAAATTGCCTAAGAAAATAAAGAGTAGGTGAAAGCACAGCTGTCCCTGCTGCTGCGTCAATTGAGGCTTGCAGGATTGTTCTAAGTAACATATCGCTCTCAATAATTGGAGTGTCAAGCTTCTGGCAATAATCTTTAGGCAGTAATCTGATAAAGGTCAACAGATGGTCAAAGATCTTATGAAAATAGTTTGGAAAGAACACAAGGTAGTTCCAAACGTGGAACTGAAGTGAAGCTGAAGGCTTTACTGAAGCACAAGTAACTCAGGAATCTTCAGAAAAGTAGCCTTGCATGGTACTTCAGCTGTAAAGATTTAGAACACAAAGAGAACTCTTCCTTAAGGATGAGATAATATGTCTATATTGGAGGTCTGTTTGGTAAAGACAGCACAATGCTGCAGGTCTGACAAGCTTATTTAATCGCCCCAGTTGTCACATAGATGTCTGGCCCTAAAATCTTGATTAGGAATTGGAGGGAGAAAAGGAAAAAGACTTTATGTTTTCTCATCTGAAAAAGATGGGCTTGCCACTCGTGGAACATATTGTTTGCATCTCATGTCTAAACAATTCAGATTTGTATTTGTGAACTACGTCCAAGGATTAAGTAGTTCCAGTACATAGAATGTACCTAATTCTATGTTGACCTTACTTAAGTTTCTGCAAGTCACTTTGTCATTTAAGACTAACTTTCTAAGTAAATGCTAAAGCACAGTCTAAATTCAAAAATGCCTTGTAAAGACACCTCAAATAAGTCATGTCCACTTACAAAATAAATTTCATTAGGCAAACTAGTGTGGCAACTGGAATCCTGTTACATTACATAGAAATAAATGATTATATACTCATTTTGTTAAATATATGCTAATATATTTCCATATCTTCTATATAAACGCTTCTAGCTAGAGCTCTCAGAAGCATGACCTTGCTTAAAGCAGCACTTCTGCCTACCCTCTCTGAATCTCTTCTACTTTGAGCAGTATGAAGAATCAGGCCTCAGCTCAATATCTGAATGTCTTTGTTATTTTAAGTTGCATGCCAAATTAATACATTTTAAAAACATAAATCCAGTCTTTAATGCTACCTGACATTTGAGCTTGACTTTTAAACATGAAAATCCTCTTATAAAAGCAGTCACCATAGGAATCATTATGGAATGGAATAAAAGATACGGCAATAAGAAATCAGTGATACAAACCTAAGTGTCTGAGTTTGGTATATTAAGCATCAATTAGAGCTAACTAGTTACTACTAATTGAACATAAGTGCAAAGCTATCATAATGCAAACTTCTGGGTTTCATCGATCAACTCTGGTAAAACTACTGCTGTGTCCAATTCACTCTTTCAATGTCTTTTCCTCTCAGGTTGTTGTTAATTCAAACAAAAAACCTCCAAGCAACAAAAGAACCATTCTAAATGTGATGCCTTTGTGTTTGCAGGGCAATTATTATTCTTCCATTGCATGAAAGATCAAACAAGTGCACGACTGATTACTTCTACATCATTACTTTGTACCCAAGTATGCCAGATACATTTTAGCTATAAATAAGCACATGAAGTTTAACCAACTGGAAGTTCATACACATGCATTACCAATTCATTACAGATTCTAAATGTGTAACATTTCCAGAGCATACCTTCATTTTTTCTTACCTAGTGAATTCAAATGTTTTTTTACAAATAGGGGAGAGCCTATTTTTTATAGCATAAAAAGTCTTTGTTGTTTGGGTAAAACCCCATGAAGATTTGCAGTGTTTTCTTACAGCTTCTATTTACTCTTTTCAAAAGTTCCACCTGAGAAAGATGAGTATCTTGGAAACATTTAAATATATTTTCACATCCAGCTGTTCTTCCTCCTCTAAATGTAACATCACTCCTAAAGGCAATAAGCACTGCTTTTGAGCAATAATTCCATTGAATTTAATCAAGAGGTTTATCTGCTAATGTTGTAAAACCGTTTCCTGCTTTACCTACATACATTCACCCTTGCAAACTAAACACAATTCAGTGATGTTCAGACATAATCATGATGCACCATTATGCCATTCACATGGGGAAAAAGCAGCAAACCCAAAGTTACAGAAGTATTTCAAGTATTTCAAGAGGTTCTTGAAATTTGGACTCTGAGTTTTGTCAAGCCCAGTGTAATAGGCACTGCGTTCAGCAAAATGTCAGTGCTGAAAAAGGAGTAGGAGCTGCAGTTAAGATACGAAGAACAGGCTGATAAATGATTGTAACTGTACACAGTACTGAGTATGGATGTCAAAACAGTCCTATTGAATTAAACAAAGAAGAAAGGTAACTTGTAGCAAATATGGAGGCTTAAAAATACATAGGCAAGATTACTGGACAAGTTGTCTCAAACAAGAGCACTGACACTGTCATCACTTCCTGATAATACATAAGTTGCAGGTTATATTCAATAAACAACTGGATCTTAATAAATCAAATAATCAAAATAAAACTGACCTAAGCAATGCTGGTGGCATGCTTACCTTTTCAGGAACAGGCAGAAAAACACATTTATCACTGTAAAACTAGACAATTTACTCTTGTTTGCTACTTCACACATCTCAACTCTGTATGTAGCTGGAAGGACAAAATGCCTCCACACTGATGAGTAATTATTTTAATTGCATAATCTTCCTTATTTATTTTTCTTTTGATCTCATATCCAATCTCCAGAAGAGATAGTTATGCAGTCACTATTACAGAATTCTGTCACCTTTCTCTTTGTTTTGTAGAAAAGTAACTTTTATTTACATATTTTGTTCTGCAGATTCATTTACATAGACTGCCTTAGTAGGCTATCATTATTTTGAATACTAAAACCAAATTAACCTCAAAATACTTTATAAATTTAATGAAGTATAACAGTTTATGATAGGTTTTGAACGCTTAATATTCGGTCAAGATCACTTCTTGCATTCAAGAAGATGTACTACATCTTATTACTTGCTTTCTGTCAAGGCACAATTTTACAGACTCCGTTACTTCGAGGCAAAGGTTACATTTTTATTTATTTACAAACAAAACAAACAGTGACTGTTTATAACATTTTAGTCTCAGTCCAAACTCTCAGAATATATCTACTGTAAGGCAATGTATGATGAACTTCTGAGTACAATTAATGCCTATGAAGGCTTCATACACTTAACTAAATGGCAACACACCACCTAACAGCTGAGGTGCTGCTCAAACACGTGCTGAAACGTGGGCCAGACCCTCAAGAGGTGTAAATCAACACAATCCCTTTACTGGTTCGTATTATGCCTGCTGACAATATAATGTAATTACAGCAATTTAACAGAATTCAAATGAATGTTAATTAACAAGGACCTGTCTCGGTGATTTAGGGTCAATAAAGTGGGTGTCCAAAAGACATGGAAATGAGACAAACTGATTAATTCAGCTCCCTAACCTCAACTCCAATAAATGATTGCATTTGGACCAATTTTGATCTTTTTGAGAATGTATTTATGCATCTGATGCTCATGTGTTAAGACAGACGTCTGTGAAAAACCAAACCAGCTGCCTAGTTAGGTTTCATCTTTAGCAGTATTAATGAGCAGAGTCCATGAAATGCCTACATTTCAATTCCAGACAGAAATTTCAATTAGCAAATTAGGGAGTGAATTGCCAAATAAATATTAGCATGTGCTCTTAAGTTTAATGTCATTTCACTGGATGTGCAGATTTTATGATAAAATACGATTTGGTATTTAAGTATAAGTTATACTTTTTGTAGAGATGTTACATAGGAAGAAAGTAATCTTTTTATTATCAATCTTTAACTTGATTATACCATGGCATGCCAAATTGTGCTTAAATAATTAATTCTGACGAAGCGAAACCTGGCAGAAGTTTCATAACTGAAAAGAAATCCTGCATTCTTGTTCTAAACAAATGGAACCAACTCACTATTCTGCAAATAAGCTCATGTGAAAGAGCAGTACGGTATAAATTTATGCAGTTCTCTGGTGTCCTTAAGGCAGAGTATTTGTTGAACTTGATAGCACAATAACTTTATATTTATTAGGAAATGGTCCCTTCAGGGAGAAAAAAAATCAATTTGTATATTATATATTGCACAGAAATGATGTTCTAAAATGTTACAGAATCTCAGTAAGTTTTCTCATAAAGCTAACATGAAATGTTGGACTTCTAGTGTTATTTGGAGCAACACATAGACTGTATACATTGTGACAGCAATAACTGCAACTTCAAAGGATTCTACTTGTAAATCACTTAAAGTCACCTACTGACAGTTTCACCTTTAAAAAGTAGCAGTTTGGATATTATCAAAATACATTTCAGCTGTAAAGATACTTGTCATTGCATGTTTATCTGGAGATGAACATGTTGGTCCATTTTGAGAAGTGTCTAAGTTTCTTCAGTCAGGAGACTGCTTAAATTAAAAATCTAAACTAGTATGAACATCTGGATATGGTAACAGAAGCCAGCATGCTGCTGGTTCTCTTAGAGAATCAGAAATATTGACACCAGAAAAAAAACTTGAGTCCAGATGAAGCTGTATGTTGTCCTAATTTTTATTGAGAGTACTGATGTGATATTTCTTCTATTCACTGACTGTTCCTCAGATTTGTTACTACTGAGCTACAGCTTGTTAGATGAGAAATCTCATCTAACAATGTCATATCACCCCAGCTGCATATTTCTAGTGCTATACCCATGCTTGTTAAACTGACTACTGCTGTATCTACAAGAGACATCTTACAAGACAGTTTTTTTTTTCCACAACTTGTTAGCTTTCCTTGCCACGTGTATCTTTTTTAGAAATTAAACACTTGCCATTTGTAGTAACTTGGTCTTTGCAGTCATCCAAAGATCATAATGTTGTGACTTACCTTTGAAACTGACTGCTTTGCTTCACGTGGAATGCAATTGGATCTCTTCTCACCCTTGGACTTGACAAATATAACTCCTCCCTGCAAGAACAGTCACATCGTGCATAGTAAATATACTTCCAGAAGACTTTTTCCCTGTATTTTTTTCCTTCACTTAGTAGCTACATCTCAGTATCCTTCAATCATTTCTTTCCACTATATTGGCTGCCTATGAAGTACTGCAGATTTCTCTAGTCCTTCAGTGTTGAAGACTACAAGCATCTTAGCAGTTGGTGTCATACCCTGCTTTTAAAAGGCAGCACATTACATGCAGGTAAGTTTGGGATCATCCAGGCAGCACAGTTGCATCTCTGAGCCTCCAAGTCACAAGCACTCAGCAAGCTGAAGCACACATCCTTACAGTTTACCAAACAGAGCATTTTCAGTGCTTGGTTCAGCACAAACTTAGAATGGTAATAGTGGTAATAATATCATTTCCTTATTTAAGCACCTAACTTAAACAAAAACCAGTAATAAAACTGAGGTATCTCCAACTACTGCTTGTACCAACTTAGCTGTCTTTATATTGTGTTACAATTTCTTAACAAAACTAATATTCAAAGAAATAAATAGTGAAACATCTGCATTTCCACAAAGACTTCCAAGACTACATTTACAGAACAGCAGGAATTCATCCAAATGTTTTGGTTGCTCACAATTTAAAAAACATTTTGTAAGTGTCCAGTTTACCTCTTCTGAGTACTGCAACAGAGAGCTGCTTACCCACAGATATGAATTAAAAAAAACAGCGTATGGAACTTACTAACTCAAAGCTCCAAAGCAAGAGAGATCCTCTTTTCTCACCTTCTTTTCACCCACACTCTACACTACACCAGTAGCCAGGCGGGAGAAACTTGTTCTTTGAAGACATCAACTTCATCATCAATTTGTGTACAAAACTTAATAAGCAGATGATCTCAGATTACAGCTAGAAATGTAGGCTATTCAAACCACACAGCTGGCTTAAGTTTTTGTTGTTTCCAGTTTCAAACATTTTATTTAAGGACCTTAAGTCTAGGCAAAAAAATGAGCAGTGCAAACAGGAGGGAATTATTGCAATTCAGAAATATTCCAGAGGACGTGACAAGGTTTAGAGATGGTTCTGGACATGAGTTAAAGGAACAAGCTGCAATGTTCTAATGACACAAAAAGTACTACAACAAGAGCAAGGGAACAAAGTCTTTGGAAATGAGAACAAACCCAAATGCAGCAGCCACAGAAATGAAAGAAAAGCACAGTTTACTTTTAGAAAGCCCCAGGTAGGCAGGAACCTACAGCAAGAGATGCCCTCGCCTCCACTGCCAACCATTAACTGAGGACTGGGAAGGAGTGGACCCTGGCTCTACCCCTTCCAGTTACTCAGGTGTACTGCACACACCTGAGCTCCCTTGAGATGGCCCTGTCTTCCACCAGGTGCTCCATCACTGCTTCAGGCCATCACTCAGCATTTCTGCTACACAGGTGAAAAAATATGCCAAAATTAACGTTTTCGTAAAGACAATTATGGTTATAGTCCCTGCTCTTTTTAGTTAATTTTGGAATAGAGAACAGCAAACAGTAACTTGATATTTTGAAATATTATAGACTAGTTCTCATTTAAACACTTAGCAAACTGCAAATAAAGGCATTTGTCTGTATATACATGCTGTAGAATCAATATCCACTGTTGCAAAAATTCCAGTATTATACCACATAATACGTTAAGAATAAACCAGCATCAATGAAGTGCTTATTTTCTTTAATCAGTGCAGCTAGAAAATGACAAAAAAAAAAAAAAAAAATTAAAAAATTGCAATGAAATTATTGCCTTCATTACAAGTTAAATACTTTCTATCTTTCACTTTAATGTTGTCTGTATTTAAGCAATGTTGACCTACCAATAGCAAACGAAAAGGTACTTCTTCACTCCTCTAGCAGAAGTGCTAAGTGATGGCCAGAAGCAGTGATGGAGCACCTGGTGGAAAGGCAGGGCCAACCCAGGGGAGCTCACGAGTACACAGTGCACCTGAGTGACAGGAAGGGATGGAGTCAGGATCCACCCCTTCCCAGCTCTCATTTAAGGGCTGGCAGTGAAGGTGAAAGCACTGCTTTTTAGAGATCCCTACCTACTTGAGGAGTTCAAAAGGTAAGCAGCTCTCTTCCTTCATTTCTGCATCTGTGGCTGCTGCAATTGGGCTTGTTCTCATTTGCTGTAGCCAAAAACTTTGTCACCCTACTATTATCATCCCATTATAGCCATCCCATTATAGCATTACAGCTGTTAAAATTATTCTGTCATAAGAAGTTTAGTTAACGCTCTTAATGATAGATGCTGTCTTATTCAAATCAAGTTTGCCTTACATTGAAATCCTTCACAATTAGCTTATAAACTATTCAGGAATCTATTCATAGTTACATCCTTTTACAAGAGTATGCTAGGAAGATTACCGTTAGGCAACAGAGAAGCTGCTAAAGAAACTACTCACATAAAATGAGCTGTGAATACATTTCTTCAGGGTGTTTTTGCACAGACACACCGCTGAATTAAAAGCTAATTATTGCGTGGTAAGTAATCTGAAAACAAACAAACCATAAGGTGGTGAAGTGAATTGCTGATAGAAAATTATAGAGAGTAGAAAAATAAATTCAGCTGAGCAAATCTGCATACAAGCTCACAACCCTGAGGTCATGTGCAGGTTGTGTTTAATGTAAATAACCATGAAACATGTATGGAAAAGAATTCCATCCTTACCTGTATAACTATCTAGTGGATTTAGATGTTAACACTAAAGGCTATCCTGTGATCTATGGAGCAACAGTGATCAGTGTTCAATGTTTCTTCACTGTTCAGCAGAACAATGTTCAACAGTGCTCAGTTTGTTGGCTTGCTTTTTCCTCTAACCAAAACAAACAAAAGACAAACAGGAGATAGGAACTATAAGGGAAGAATTAGTCTGGGATGTGGAAATCAATTTTTTTGGCCCAGTGTAAATTCATCTGCAATACTTCTGATTCAGAAAGCGCTAATGTCACAGTGAGCTGTGCTCAGGGTGGTAAGGGATCATATGGTGTCACATCTGGCGCTCTTCTTTAGGCACTTTCTGCTGTTACAGCTGAATATGTGCGCATATGATATTCCTAAGAGGATCACAATGTCTGGTTACCTCTGGAACACGTTTATAGCTGAATTCAATAGAATAGAAAAAAAACGAAGGGGCTGTGGTAATATCTCAGCAAGGAAAACATCTGTATCCATGTGCCCACCTGGCTGTGGGTGAAAGGATGTCAATAACACGGGAATAAAGGCAGGAAATCCACGTTCTCTTTGGGAATGCTGTTCTCTCTGTCATTCTCTGCATTGGAGGAGACCGAAGCAAAGAGCAGAAACTTCCTCTAATCCAACCTTGCTCTTCACGCCTTAAAAATAACGGTCCGTAGGACAACGCCACGCTTTGCAGCGCGCACAGGCAACTTTCCCTCAGCGTTCAAAAGCAAACAAACAAAGACGAGAAGGGAAAACCCACACGCCCAGAGCCCAGCTCCCGTTGCCTCAGGCCGCTCGCCCCGTCCCGCTCGGCTCTCTCACAGCCCCGACGCCGCCGAGCCGCTCCGCACAGCCGGCAGCCGTTACCGCCCGCTCCGTCACCTCGTGGCGGACGGACGCCGCTGCACGCGCTCGGGGCGGGCACGCGCGCGCGACTTCTCCCCCTCCCCCAACCCCTACCCCACACACTTCAACCCCGCCTCCCCCTCCCTCCCCGCTTCCCGCGCGGCCGTTACCGCGTGGCAGTTCGCGCGCAGCCGCTCGCGGGGCGCGTGCCGCCTCAGAGGCTTCCGCGCGCGCCGTGCGCAGCGCGTGAGTGGAGGCGGGCTGGGGCCGTGCCCCGCCGACGGACCGCTCCTCCGGTGAGCGCTGGGAGGCGACAGCGAGCTCCTCCCGCCGGATCCGTTCCGGGGAGAGCGAGCCGAGCGGCCAGACTTTTACCTTTTCTCTCTTTTCCCGTCGCTCTCCCCACCATGCTCCGGACGCCGCCGCCCGCGGGGCAGAAGCCGCGGCTCGGCCCGGCGCCCCTCTCCTGAGGCGATGCGGGAGGCGCCGGCGGGACGGAGCTAGCGAGACCCCCGACCGCCATGCGGGAAGAGAGAGAAGCGGCCGCCTCCGTCTCCCGCCGCGGCCCCGGCAAGCCGCCGCCGCACCGCCCGCAGCCGGACGGCGCGGGGCCGCCGCCGCCGCCCCCCCCGGCGCCGCCCGAGAGCCTCCGGAACGGCTACGTGCGGGGCTGCGCGACCCCGCCGCGCCGGGACCCCCCGGAGAGCGTCCCGACCCCACCGCTCTGCCCCGGCGCCGCCGCCTCCTCCTCCTCCTCCTCCCGCCGGGCGCTGCTCAGCCTGGGTGCCCTGGCCGCCGTCGCCCTCTCGCTGCTGGCCTTCCCCGGCCGGGGCGGCGCCGGCCCGCAGGACGGCGGCGGCTGGCGGAGCCCCCGGGCGCTGCACGCCTTGCTGAGCCTCTCCCGCTGCCTCAGCCCGCTCTTCAGCATCGCCTGCGCCTTCTTCTTCCTCACCTGCCGCCTGGCCCGCGGGGAGCGCGGCGCGACGCGCTGGTGGCTGCTGGCGCTGCCCGTCTGCTGCTACTCGGGGGACCTGGTGGCGCTGCGGTGGCTGCCGCCCGCACAGGGGCGCGTTGAGGAGACCCTCGCCCCCGGCGAGCCGCGGCTGGCGGCGGGCAGGCTGCTGGCCGCGCTGGGCTCGGTGGCGGCGCTCACCCTGCTGCGGAGCTCTGCGGGGCTCCGCCGCAGCCTGCTCGTCCTGCTCTTCTCCGGCGCGGTGTGGCTGGTGTCTCTGACCGGCCTTCAGCCGCTGCCCCCGGCCCTCCGACCGCTGCTGGCGGGCTCGGTGGGGGTGGCGGGCTGCCTGCTGGCTCTCCGCGGCGCCGAGCGCGGCATCTTCCCGGCTCGGGGCCGGGCGGCGCCCCGGCAGCACCAGCCGCAGCCCCGGCTGCCTGGCGTGGAGGACAAAGTGCCTGCGGTCAGACCCCGGCGGAGGTCGAGCTGCGTGTCCCTAGGGGAAGCTTCGGGCAGCTACTACGGCAGCAGCAAGATGTTCAGGAGACCCTCGTTGCCTTGCATCTCCAGAGAGCAGGTAAGTGGCTCCGGGACCGCGGGGAGAAAGTTTGAGGGCGGCGAGCTCGCCGCTCGCTCTCCCGGCTCCTGTAGGTGTGTGTGCGGGGTGCCTGCTGTCACGCCGCTCTTACAGACGAAGGGAAACGCTCGCTCCTTAGCGTCTGTTGACTCCTTAATTCGGTTCCGCAGGATCGGTGCAATCCTTGCGGGCTGCACGGAAGCTAAGTCGCACCGATGCATGCGACAGAACGGAAGCTTCGCTCACTTTTTATACGGATTAAACGCTAAAATCTAACCCTTCTTGCTATCAACAGCCTTGTTTCTTTCCCAAAGCCCACCTCCTCTGCTCCTGGCAAATGTCATGAGACAAAGCCTTGCTGGCTGCTCTCTCCTCTGCTTCTTCTCTCTTTCTATCGATAAAAAGACTGCCAAGTGCTAAAGGAGAACTCGGGTTTGGAGGGATATTATTTACCAGTTTGGGACAGTGTTTGAGTGGCAGGGTCCTTCTGCCTCGCAGATTACAGTGTCTGTTTCTCTGGTCTCCTCTTCGACCATCTCTCCCTCGCTCCAAATAAATTACCATTAGGTTTGAGCTCTTTGAACTCAAGAAACTTTTTTTTTTTTTTTTTTTTTTAAACCTCAGAGAGAGCTGTTCAGTAGAGTCTGGAAAGATGCCTGAAACATTCAGTTTTCTTGAATGGAACTCTGTTGGTTTCTGCCTCCTGGAAAACTTGTCAATGAGTCCTGTTTGGTTTTTTTGTTTGTTTTTTGCTTTTTTGCAGGGCCGCCCCCATGTGGGGCAGTTGATTTATATTTGGTAGGTGGTACATGAGCAACAGGAGCTGGGTGTAAGCGGCCCAGCTCTGCTGGAGCGGACAGTTGACCCCACGCTGGAGGAGCGTGGGGGCATTGGGAATGAATGGCAAGTGCCCGGCTTCTGTGAAGGGATTGTTGCCACAAAACCCCCCATCTGTTGCTGCGGTGGCTGAAATTCATAAATGCCAAATGAAATGTTCTAACTTTGCTTTGTCGTGCGTTCCATAATGCGCTGCTTGTGATGTGAAATAGGTCGGAGGAAATACGAGGCAAATCTGAAACAGTGCAGCAGTTTGCGAGCGTTTCTTTCTCTGCATTTACGCAATAGAATAATACAGCAGTAATTGTTCTGTGCGTGAAAGGTTCAAATGCCAGTCTGCTGGAACAGGCGTCAGAAGGTTGAAATTATCAAGTGCAGACAATGGGACAAACGTTAAAATATTGTAACAGCAGTTAAGATATGTGGGGAGTATTGTACAATAGTTTACTTTCTCTGCTCCCTTCCCTTCTAGATAGGAAATGCTCTCTGTTTGTGTTGTGTTTGTCTACAATATAAGAAACGCAGAAAACGCAGTAACAGCTTTCAGTAACTTTTCTAGATGATAAAAGATATTTGTTTTTGTGCAACTGATGAAGTGTTTCCTTTGATATTCAGTTCACTTCCCATAAAATATGTATATATTTCAAGTGAAGACATTTAGTATTCTTTAAGTAACATCATAAACGTCAACCTAACTAAATGCCTGGAATTTATTGGCAGTACTTAAATCATACGTGTTCATAGTAAAATGCAACTGCTTGGTAGACTTCCAGAATTTGATATCTTCATTATCACTAGAAGTGAACAGTAACGACAAAGAGATCTGAAGTTCTTTATTTTCCTCATAAAGTCTATTACACCTTACAGTAAATATTTGTGCTTTATTAGCCATGATTTAAATTGCATTCGGAGATACGTGTTTGAGGCAGTGTTTTATGAGGGATTTTTATGAGGACGATGCAGGTGAAATACTCAGCTCTCGTGTTTGACTTGGAGAGATATCAGACATTGCAGAGCTGATAAAGTGTCAGCTGTTGGGGTTGGGGGTCACATGAGGAAGGAAGCCTATGGTCTGTGAGTGTATTTGACCAAACTCTGTGAGGTCTTTATGTTGTTTCCTTGAAACGGAAGGAATATATGCACTTAGTGCTCTTCAGAGGAGCATTTATTGTGTGAACTTTCTTGATTCACTGCATGTTTTGTAGATGTTTAGACAGTACTGCAAGGCTTCTTTCTCAATATTAATATTTTAAGATAGTGAATTTAATAAAGACTGCTGGGAAGGTCAGTGGGGTATGAGGAACGTGCTGCTGGATGTTTGCTGTGTCAGGAGTACTTATAATGACAATATTAGTTTAGCTGTCATTCAGTTTGATGCATTTTATATGATTACTTATGCACATTGCACCCCTACAAGCAGGTGTACATAAGAACAAAAAAAGGCAGATGTAGATTTTAGTTACTTTGCGGGAGGAAAAAGGGATTGCTGGTATTGACATTAAGTTTTCAGATACCTGTTGAATTGAAATTATGCCCAACTCTGTCTTAGTACCATGAGAAAAGAAGTGTAGTGTGCTGACTTCTGTTTTCTTTTGCTCAAATAAGCTTAAACCAACAATTCTAAGGGATCTTTCTGTGTGGGTAGAGGGAGAGGGGGCAATTCCAGGTGTGCACAACCAGTAGTGTTCACACAGTGGAGTCAAGTGGAGCTGTCACTGTTTTCTGAGGGCAGAGGTAGGAAGAGGCCCTGTGAGCATGATCCTACAAGTGCTTTCTGATTTGAGGAATGTACTTCTCAAATTCGGGTTTCTGTTTTTCGTTTGTCAACAGATAGCAACAGTCGATAATTATCTTTGTTCTTACCTGTTCCATGAACATCCATGCTTTGCTGTCAGAATCTAATTTGTGCCATATGTGCTTTTTTCCTGCTGTATGTGTGGCTAGAGATGTAGTTTGGTGGGTGGAGGAAAAGAGTCTTGAATAGGCTTTATCTTTGAAACGTCATGCTACTGTACTTAAATGCCATTTTCAAACGTACAGATAGTAATATGTGTAGAACAGAAGGAAGTAAATTAAGGCTAAAAATCATGCAAGCACAATGTCTACTTGATTTCTACTATATTAACAGGGAAAGTTAATGCAAATTTGTATGATGTTAGCAGTAAACAGGCCTTTTTGTTTCCTTTTTTTCAGTATTCAAATTGGGCCAATTGATGAGTCGTTTAGCAGTGCAATTGCAGTATTGATTGCAATTACAAATGCTGTGCAGGCAATGTTTTGACTAAATGTTTTAATGACGTGCTATTGTTAGCATATTGCTATCAAAGGTGTTGCCAGCATTGGCTGTTGAATACTTACTACACATTTCTTGATGTTCTTTTTTGTTTGTTGCTGCTTCTTGAAAGCCAGTTCATGTCAACAAAACCATGACAGATCAGTACTGGGACTGGTCAGATCTTATAAATAATCTCTATCTTGAAAAATACGGTAGTGTAAAACATTCTTTTTACATCCTTGTGAATGTGTATATAAGAGCATGTAACTACATGTAGGACATGTAATTCTAAAATGTCTATTTGTCTTTACTAAGAGAATAGGCCTTTCAAATTATGTGCATGGGACACATGTCCAAAACAACCTGCAAATAGAGCTAGGGGTTTTGTTGTTGTTGTTCATTTTCTTTTTAAAATTTCCTACCTATCTGACTAGGTTCAAACAAGAAGT